TTTTAATTTGGACCATTTCTCGATTTATGCGTGTCATCCTTGCGCAGGGGCCATGCTAATCTTCTCTGTATCGTTCCAATTTTAACGGATGTCCCGAAGGACAGCTTGGTACCTTTTTCCCCCTTTTTTTTTTTTTTTTGTTTGTTTTTCCTTTTCAAGATTCTCAGCTGTTTGTGATGCTGCTCCCCGCCAGAGGCATCCCGAAGCAAATGGGCAGGCTGAGCAGATGAACCAAGTGGTGCAGCTTCTGCTGACGCATTACATCAAGCCCAGCCAGGATGACTGGGATGAGAAATTACCTCTCATCGCCAGCCTGTACAATAACGCTGTACACAGCACCACCGGCGTCAGTCCTAATCAACTGCATCTGGGATGGAAGCCTAGATCTGCTCTAGACTTCCTCCTGCCTGAAAACTGAACTGCTGCAACTCCTGGAACCATTGAATTTGGTGTCCAGTATGAGAAACTGTTGCAGCAGACTGTCGAACACATCAAGAAATCTCAGGAAGTCATGATTGCTTCTGAGAACAAGCGTCGCTGACAGTCTACATTTCAGGTAGGGGAATGTGTTTGGGTCAAGGCTAGTGAGTTGGGACAGGAGTTTGGCATCTCTAGGAAACTAATACCTCAGTATTTCGGTCCCTGGGAAGTCCTGGACATTGTGGGGAATGATTTGGATGGTCCCTCGTACGTTATTCGTATCCCTGGTCACTTACGCACTTACCCTGTTTTTCACGCCTCCAAGCTTGCACCTTTTGCTGAGACAGCACAGTTCCCATCACGGAGATCTATGCTGCCCCCAACCATGGATGGCCACGTGGATGTCGACGATATCCTGGATCACAGAGACAGGCCTGTTCCCAAGCCAGGGGAAGACCTCCCAAATCTGCGAGGGAGTACAGAGTACATTTCAGGCATCATACAGATGCGAAGGAAGATCGATGGATTTCAAGGGAGGAACTGGTCAAGACAGCTCCTCATATCGTGGCAGATTATGAGAAGAAACTGAAGGGGAAGGCACCAGCATGAAGCATCTCAGCGGACTTTCAAAGCTAAGGGGGATGGAATGTGAGGAACAAGCCCTCAAGGGGCCCTATCAGGCATGACATTGTTCTGGGCTAAGGCCCCCAGCAAGCCAAGTGCCCGCCCTAAGTGAAGGTGGGCCTGAATATTCGTCAAAGGCAAAATTCGACATTTCCATATGTGGGTATTCAGGCTCTTGCAGCACGCCAGTTGGTTGGGAAGCCGCGTGAGCCTCACATTGCTGCGTCATACAGTTGGCCCAGGCCTTGCCAGTTGCGCCTGGGCACATACACAAAGCAGGGCCGATGCATTGGGGAGCAGGCCTTCGGCCTTTGCAAAAGCAGTAGTGCCAACGCACCTGCCTGGGAGCCCTGCACAGGTGCGGCAAACAGCCCAAGTCTGGAGACTCAGGCCATGCCTAACTGCAAAGGGCCCAGGCCCTCAACTGTAGTCTCGGGCCTGGGCTCAGGGTCTGGTACCCAACCGGAAGCTACTGGAAGCTTCCAGCCAGGCCACACGCAGCATCCAAGAGGCTGCCACTTCCACAAAAGGAAGCAGCCCAGGCCAGCCATTCTGGCCAGCGCTGGCAATGCGTAAGTGCTGCTGCGCTCTCACTTGATGCTGCGCTGCTGCCAAGGGCGCTGACGGGGCGCGAGAGGTGAAGTGGGGCGCTGCAGGGCAGCGGGGCGCAGGCAGCCATAGCCAGGCTGCTAGGCGCCAGGGTGTACAGCGGATGATCAGGTGGTCTTCAGGGAAGGAGGCGCGTGTGGGGTAATCAAGGTCTGATTGAGGGTGACGAGATACGTACCTGGTACATGAAGAGAGGTCGGCGATGGTGTTGGCAGTCATGTACATTGGTCTTCGAAAGTCGAAGTGATCCTGTTGCGTGAACCGGCTGTAGGTAGGCTAGTCAGGTAGAGTAGGCTGGGCGCGGAGCGCCAGACAGGAGAGAGCGACTTTGGATACTGTGTTGGTGTGGCCTATGGGCTTGGACATTGGCTCATTACTTCATTGTATTGCTCTATATGGATGGTTTTCTCGGTGCATTTGTACTCTCTGCTTGGGACACGACTACTTGTTCAGCTGTGTGATTTCGCAACTTGGTTTTATGTGTATCGCTCACGCTATAGTATTTTATACCCCCCTTCCCCGCCCTTGACAGCCAACTCGCAAAAAAGAAATAGCCCGGACTTGGGGTCCTCTGGCAGAATGTGGAAAACCAAAAAAAAAAAGCAGCCGGGCGTGAGAATTTTCCTAGCTTTAACCAAATTTGATATGAGGTTGGACAACTCTGTTAATCAGACTGTCTGTTGGATGAAAAAATGTTGAAAATAACATTTTTCCTAAGTAATTCAGTGGAATGGGTTGCTGTGCGCGTGCAGCTGGTGAAGATGTGTTCATCCGGCGACACAAGGACAAGCAAAACAAGATGTTTCGAAGCCAGCTTCCAGGAACGTCTTTGGGATTGCAGTGCCGGCCAGAATGGAAGTACACAGGGACGGACACCAGAGCCGGAAAGCCGCTTTACAAAGGGCCTTGTACAGTTTGTGGTCGGGAGAGCACTGTGCCATTCAAACCGGTGGTCAACGGTCAACCCCCCAGGTGTCGAAACTGTCTGCCATTGCATCTAGCGATTATGGGACAGGGGCAAATGCAATCTGCAGTGCAAGTGACGCTCCCGTCAAGCACACAGGCTGCGATACCCGTGACGATGGCAGCTGGTATGATGACTGGCCAGCAATCATCCTTGTTGATGGAAGGTGCAACCAGCAACCATGGGGTCGCGAATCAGCAGCAGCACCATTTGACAGAGTGAAGAGTAAGTGTTGATTGGTACTCAGGAGCGCCTTTTTTTAATGAGCTCTCACTGGGTTACGTAGAGTGTCGGGACTCATTTTAGACAGAAAAACAAATTCTTTTTCTCCCCTTCGTTTCGCTGGATTTGTAAAACAGCGAGTAGAGGGCCTTTTCTCCAGCTTTCCTCCTCCTTTCTCTTTATTGTTCTCCCCACTCTTCTAACAGTACAGAAACGTTTCTAACTCGGTAGCTGACCTCGTGATCCATCTGTCTGCCTATGGTAGAGTTCAGTGGTGGTGACTTTTGAGAGTTTTGAACTTTTGATCTGTTGATCTCTATTTCCGTTTTTAAAACGAGATTCAGCCCGCTTCAATGGATTTAAAATTGTTAATTTAGTCTATAACTAATATGGTGCTCTTCTCTACAATCTAATGAAGATAATCGTTCGTTTGAGCTGTTTTTTTAGCAATCAAGCTCTGTAACGTTCCTCCTGGAGGCCCTGATGATTGGACCTAACCAGTTACACCCCAGTAGCCTTGTCGATTGATTTGCCTGCTGTTCAGCCAACAAAGCCCTCCTGGTGTTGTCAGTGGGCAGGTTGAATTGGCACGTGAAAGCTGCCTGTTCATTGACTGCTTACATCGTGTATACTGCAGAAGTCCGCTTCAGGGTCCTTACAACCTGAGCATGTCTGGCAAGGGCCGGCTGCAGGGAGTGTGCAGGAGGCAGGTAATCTGGAGGAAGATATTTTTTCTTGGATATCGGATATTAGTATCCACCGTGCGAAAGGAAAAGGGGAGCAGGTGATTATGTGCTCACACATGAAAGGGAACGAGACTTGAGGACGTCTTTGGATGAGGTGGCCTCCAGAAGTGTGTCTGGAGACGTGCGGCAGACCACACAGCCGGCAAGTTCAGGGGGTCCTGGGGGAGGCCAGGTGACTGGCGAGACCGAGAGACAGTTATTGCAAATCTGAGAGAGAAACGATAGCGCAGTGAGGAGTTTTGGCAGGCGTCTGAGTGGTGTAGTATGTTTGACGCAGTGGCATCGCAGTATCTCCTGCCCGTGCACGGTGGTGACTGTTGGCGGGTCGCGGCATTCATGTCTACTGGGCTAGCTTGCATTAATCTCGATCTTGGTCTGCAAACAGGCTTTGACGAGACATCCCTTCTTGGAGTCTCGTGAGAGAGTTCACTGCAGCGGAGGAAGGGAGGAAGAGACTAGTGCAAGCGCCACGGTTTGCCATCTCAGCATCCAGGAGTTTCTGGCAAGCCGAGGAGAGCTGTGGTATTAGTAGGCTGAGGAGGAGAGGGGAAAAGACCTGCAAGGGTGAGTCAGCGGAGAGATGGAAGAGAGGAGAAGGTGTGTATGTTCTGCCCCGACTTTTTTTTGTTCTATTCTAGGCCTGCAGAGGGATACTCAGCTGCACTGCCATTGCCATGTGTTGGCTTCTATAGATCCTTGCTTTGCCTTCTGCCATGTTCTTGTTCCCACTGCCTTTTCCCGCTGGTTATGCTGTTGTGGGAGTGCAGCCGAGTGCTGCGGCCAAGTCAGCAGCAGAGGGTACACCTTCAATTGATATGTACATTTGTGTTCATGAGTCGTGATTCTGCCCCGGAGAGAGGTGTTTAAAGTCTACTAGAAACAGACACGGAGATCTTGCATTGGTGTTTTGGGAGCGCTGGGCGTATCCACCTGCCTGTTTTGGGGGTATTCTTGTTCTTGAATGGGTCTCCATGCTTGCAACGTAGGGGCATATATTGCCAGTTCTGGGGCATTATTGAACAGGAGTTTTCCTTTGGGGGATTGAGGGAAAAACCTCAAGGTGAATGAGATCACGAAGAAAAAATCAGACAGACAAGAAGACACATCATCTGATGTCACCAATCTGATAAAAAAAGGTTTAATTTAGCTGTGAGGTCACTGATTACGAAGGCTTATTGGTACGAAAGGGGAGCTGCAGATTATGGCCGATGATTGCTGCTCTCTGATATTGCTTTTATATTCATTGATATTTATTTTCTCCAGTGTACACCGACTTTGCAGTCTCATTTACCTTTTCAGAGTGCCAGGAGAAGCCTCTGTGAACTAGACAGTTAGGGGAGGAGGAAGGATCCTCCCTTTTTTTTTGATTCCAGGGTTAAGGCGTTGTTGCCAGATGCAAGAGAGCCAATCTTCTGAATGGGAATTGAACACCCGACTTTCTGAATGGGAAGCGAGCGCCTGATCCGCTGTGGCAAGGATGTCAATTGTCTTTGCCTCTGTGCTGAAATCGAAGAGGAGGAGATCTGCTGTGCTACACACTTTTCTTGGCATACCGATTTTTGAAAACCCACACTTTGGTTTGTTTTGTGAGACTTGCAGGTTCCCTCTCGTTCTGTTCTTTTTGTGGCGCAAGCCGCGTAACGTCCGTGTTTTGTGTTATTTCTCGAGCTTCTGGTCCTTTTTTTCTGAAGATTTGTTCTTGGCATAGGCTGTAGAGTTTTCTGGAAGTGTTTCAATTCTTTGATTTCCCTTTCATAGGGTCTCTGGACTTTGAATTTTCAAGAAGTGCTTTTGCCATCCGATTGCAGCGGAAGCAGCAGGAGCAGCAGGCGCAGCAGTGGTGACTGTGAACTCTCGTTTTCCCGAGCATCAAACGTGCGAGTTTTGTTTCGATGGCATCGAGCGTTTGTTTTTTTGTGAGGATTTCCTCAGTTTCTACTCCCTTTAATCTTTACAATTGAATCATTAGGAAGTTGAGACAGTTTCTCGTAGCAGAGTGTTGTTGTGTACACTTTTTGGGCAGATTGAGTAGTGAGAATTGATACAAAGGATCTGGTGAGGACATTAATTTATTCATAACTTTTGTGTAACATCTAGGATGGTGTACCATGATCATCATTTTAAGTTAACGAGGAGCTGTTGTGTAGGTGGACTGGAAAGGGATATGATGGGAGGATGGAGAAGTGGAAATGGAGAGAAAGGAAGACGGGATTTGGTAATTAGCAGATGGTTGTGCGGACAGGCGGGAGGGAGGACCGAGCTTCAAGATAATTGCAGGTCCGTGAGCACAAATTTGTATGCGACTCATAAAGGAATATAAGATTTACATCGGCGCATGCATCCAGAGGCCCAAATACCCCATCTGGCAGCTCTCCATCTGGCTGCTCGACATGCTTTCCTCTCTACTTTGATGTGCATCTATTTTCTCTTGTATCCCCTTAGCCCATAAATTTTACCACCTCCCATCTCTTTCCCCCCCCCTTCCCTCTGGACCTTGTGCTTTCCCCCTTCTATGTTTCTTCTTTCGATGGTGTGTGTGTGTGTGTGTGTGTGTGTGTGTGTGAAAACACAGTGGCAATAGCTTCAGTACAACACGATGCACCCCTCCCCGACACCCCCTCAGGAGAAAACCATGCACAAAAACTTGAAGACAACTCTCACATAATTGCATAGTGCACTGGAAAGTCGAATGTCAAACGGTGAAGGAAGAGGCACACAATAGCACAGGCAAGGAAGGAAGAGGCACACCAAAAAAAGCAGTGGGAAATTCCAATGCTCCAATGAGACCAAACTTGGTACACCCAAACCTTGACCCGAAACAAAACAGGCAAAAAAAAGAGCCCCAAAGGGCCCAAACCCTAACTTCATTTTTAGGTCTGTTGGTCAGGACCTGAAAATGGGGGTCTCCGAAGTGAAGTGCAGGGGGCAACAAGGCATTGGATGAGAATCAGCAACAAGGAACATGGGCTGGAGGGCAAGGGGGAAGTGGGTGAGTAGACAAACAGCACAAGGCAGCGAAGGAAGAGACAGACAAAAGAGAGTGAAGCAAAGGGCATGAGGCAAGGCACGGGACGGCAAGCAGCAGTGAGGGACATTGGCTGGAGGGCAAGGGGGAGGTGGGTGGGCAGACAAACAGCACAAGGCAGCGAAGGAAAAGGCAGCAGGCTAAAAAGGAGCAAGGTAAAAAGCAACAGACAGAAAAAGTACCAGTACGGAAAAAATGAAGTGCCAAAGAAATAACATCCGTGTTGGAACGATACAGTGAAGTTTAGCATGGCCCCTGCGCAAAGATGACACCCATATATCAACAAATTGCAAAAGAAAAGAGAATTTGATGATGATGGATTGTTTCTTCAGGACTTGCACCGACTCATCAAGAGGCTGAGCGCTCAACAACCTGCAGAATCCTTATATTCATGCTTTGGGCCATGGACTCTTTGACCTTTGTTGAAAGTGGACGACACAAGTAGAACATAGCAGCAAGGCAACAACTCAGTGAAGCACCAGGCAACGCTACGAGGGCAACCTAAGTGCACTGCGCCAAAGCCAACTGCATGGAACAACAGTGCAAGCCGACAGGCAGCAACAGGGCAACGACGCACACAGCGGCGCTGCAACAACGGCCAAACTACGAAGCGCACAAGCAACAAACTGCACCGGAACGCCGATGGGCAGCAAGGAAGCAATTCAGTGAAGTGCGAAGCAACAACACGTCAAGCACACGAGCTGCAGGAAAGGCATGGCAAGCTGGTGGGCAGCAAGGCGGCAGAGGAGCACAGACAAGGCAGTGCACTCATCCAACACGGACGAAACCAATCTATCAGGTACTCGCACTACAAGAAGAACCTTGCAGACCGTTGGTTCCCTCCGCAAGCCTCTCCGGCAGATGCCTATCATCACCTGTAGACCATATGGACCACGAACATCATGAACAGAACGGCCCCTCTTTAGAGGTGCGCATTTAGACACTCCAAACAATGAACTACTGACCGTTTGGCACCATTTAGAGGTGTACACAGAAAATACTTTGAGTAGACCATAGGCCTGCAAGCACTCCAAACAATGAGCTACTGACTGTTTGGCAGTATTTAGAGGTGCTCGCTTAGATACACAGAAAATACTTGAGAAAACAGAAGGAAGGAAAACAAATACATAAAACTGGTGTTGTGTGTGTGTGTGTGTGTGTGTGTGTGTGTGTGTGTTTGGGATGTTGCGCATGTACGCACACCATTTTGCGCTAGAACTGCGTCCTGAGTTCCAACATGGATGTCGACACACTAGAGAATCCTGGCACAGATGGTGAAATCTGTCTATGATGAAATGTGCTATCCGATGCACGCAAGGCGTTTGTAAGTGCATCAAAGCCGTGCAAATGGAGCGGTTGCCATGGAGCGAGAACGAAAAGTATGCTGAGTAGGCTGGAGGGCATGGGGGAGGTGGGAGGGCAGACAATACATAAGCACACAGGACAGGTGCGAGGACTGAGCCCTCATGGGGCCCTAACAGACATGCAATTGTTCTCAGCTGTGGGCCCCAGCAAGCCTTGTGCCCACCCTAAGTGAAGGCGGCCTGAATATCCACCAGAGGCCTATTTTTGATATTTTCGATATGTGGGCTCACAGACAGTTGCATCATGCCAGTTGGTTGAAGGGAAACGTGAGTCTCCAGGCTCTTTCCAGAAGACAAGGACTGCACTGTATTGTTGAGCCCAGGGGTGGGTGGTTGCGCCCTGAGCACACGCAGCGTGAGGCCAACGCATCGCACAGCAGCCACGGACGAATGAGAAAGCAGCATTCCTGTCACACAATTTCCACGAGCCAATGAGAATGTGGCCAACCCTCGGCGCCTGGGAGGCTACCTATACTTGCCCAACCGAAAAAGGCCCAGGCCCTTAACTGTAGAGGTGGGCCTGGGCGCAGAGACTGGGGCCGGACTGGAAGCTACTGGAAACTTCCACAGCCAGGCCCAGGCAGACACACACAGGGGCTGCACTTTCCATAATGGAAAGAGGCCAGCCCAGGGGGAGGCATTCTGGCCTAGGCAGGCAATGTGGACACGCTGCTGCGTTGCTGCACAAGTGTCTGCATGGGTGCTGCTGGTCGGACGCGCGCACAGGCGCTGGTGTGAGGGGCGCTGCAAGGGCAGCGGTCGCACAACAGCCATAGCCGGTCTGCAGGGTCGCAAGGCAGGTGATCGGTAAGGTCGTCTTCGGGTAGGAGGTGCATACCGTGGGGAGACGAGGGTAATGACGAGAGGAGAGAAAACGTACCTGGTGTATGCTGGTTCGGCACTGGTGTTGACGTCACGTACGTTGGTCGCAAGAACGTAGATAAGTTAGATAGGCTGAGTAGGATAGGCTGGGCGCTGGGCGCCAAACAGTAAGTCCGACATTAAATACAGTGTTGGTGTGACCAGAGAGTGGCGACATTGACATTCAAGTTCATTGTATTGCTCTTTTTGGACGGTATCTTGGTGCATTGCACTCTCTGCTTGGTTCATGACTATCTGAGCTACTCCATGATTTTGCAACTTGGATTTCTGTCTATCGTTTTCGCTCATATTCCTTGCATTTGGTATCAGAGCTGGTTTGAGATTGCCGTTACAGGCGCTGGCGACATTGTTACTTGGTGCACTGACGAAGCTTCTACGCAGTGAGGATACATTGGCTCTGGCATAGTTTGCCACTCCCGGGTAGAGGGCAGGCTGGCAGGAAGGCTGTGGCACCGCGTGGGAGCTGTGGCGACAGCGGGTGTGTGTGTGATGATGAGAGCATGCTGACATGCAATTTGGCTGAGGTGGCACTGCATTGCATTGCGGGTGGTATCGAGGCTATGACCGGTCATCGAAATGCACGTCGGCTCAATTGGTGAGAAATCTGTGGTTGGGGGTACGTTGTTCCCTTACCTTATCTTGCCATCTCAATCTCTTCTTATCGTGAGGAAGTGAGTCCAACTTGAGTGTCCTCTTCTGGTTCAGGAGTCGTGAACGCTCTACCTTGAGATTCGACATTCTTCCTGGCGGTGCATTTGGAAGGATAGGGTGGCGCCTCAGAAGGGCCCTGGTCGAAGCACGGGTCGCGGTCACCATGCCAACCCATGGGAATAGAGGACACATGCTTTGCTGCTTTGTCTTTTAAGCTTTTGCTGCTCTGTAGAGGGAACGTGGACTGACCAGTCCTATGCAAGATGTCTACCAGACCATCTATAAATTATTTCTGGCGGGATCTGATCTGAACACTGGCTGCGATTGTTGTCCTGTCTGCGACGTTAAATAATTCCTGAGGACCTTGGGGGCTGTCCTTAAACTGCCTCTTGATCAGCCAGATCAGTCGAATGTAAGGCTCCTTGGACGCGAGGATAAATAACGGGCAGTACTGGTCGTAAGCAGGTTCCTGGGCACAGGGGTGGGCCGTTGTGCACGCGATAGACACTGCTGCTTGATGATGTCAGTCAGGCTCGTTGGATACAAGGGAAGGGAAGGTTCAAATTGGCGCTCGTACACAAACACACTTATTTCCATTACCGCATACATTTGTGCACTTGACTTATTTTTATCTTTGATTAGTTGAGGTACGACAGACTGCTAACATCTGACAGACAACATTGGATTAGAACTGTAGTAGTCTACCATTGCCAGTTCGGTGTGATGCTGCTGTAGAAGAACTAATCGAAGTAAGAGTAGATCAATTGCTTAGTCTGTGTATAAACTGTTGACACCACTTGATCGGTAGTCCGAGTGACTTGCCGAATATTTATTTATTTTTAATTATTTTTTCAACTCGGTCAGACATTGTGGTAGGCTCCAGTGAGGGCACAAGTGCAGACAGTGATCTGCTTAGATGATGAGCGGTACAGATAGTGGTGAAGGGACAGCTGACAATAGGAGGCAAACACGACGGGATACACAAATGATTCTGGTAGTGTTTCAGGTTCTGCTACCAGGGGATGAGAGAAGGTTCCGGGTCGGAGCAAGGGCCTGACATTTCCAGACTGCTAGGGAGGCTGCAGCAGCTGTGGAACAAATGTTAGCGGCAGGAGCTGCTAGCGTTGTAGCGATGGCTACATCTGCAGCGGCCTCTCAAGGTCGACAGACGTCAGGAACTTTATCTAGTTCCTCCGCCTCATCAAGTAGGACGAGTGCAGGACCTTCCACAAGTCTGATGGCGGGCTCGCAGTACAGCTCACCACCTCCACGCATGAGAGAGGCCATAGAACTCCAGCAAGTGGAGTTTATCCGCTTACGATTAGAGAAGGAACTTAGGGAAGCTACCAAAAGAGAAACTGAGATTAGAAATAGGAAAGCCAGATTAGAGAGCAGAAGGGCGGACAAGGCTGCAATAGAAAGGTTAGTGCAGGACCTTCCACAAGTCTGATGGAGGGCTTGCAGTACAGCTCGCAACCTCCACGCAGGAGAGAGGCCACAGAATTCCAGCAAGTGGAGTTGATCCGCTTACGGTTAGAGAAAGAACTTTTGGAAGCTACCGAAAGAGAAATTGAGATTAGAAATAGGAAAGCCAGATTAGAGAGTAGAAGGGCGGACAAGGCTGCTGCAATAGAAAGGTTAGTGCAGGACCTTCCACAAGTTAGATGGCGGGCTTGCAGTACAGCTCGCCACCTCCATGCAGGAGAGAGGCCATAGAACTCCAGCAAGTGGAGTTAATCCGCTTACGTTTAGAAAAGAAACTTAGGGAAGCTACCGAAAGAGAAGCTAAGATTAGAAATAGGAAAGCCATATTAGAGAGCAGAAGGGCGGACAAGGCTGCAATAGAAGGGTTAGACAACTCGACCCTTGACGACACGAGTAAAATCCTCAAGGCGGGTATGCTGAGCATCTTCCACCGGCGATGACAGGCCCATTTGCCACTCAATTTGGTACCCCACCAAATGGTACGTCAGCAGCAGCAGCACAAATTGCTGCTTCTTCGTCTTCAGGTCCAGCTGCTGCTGCTACGGGGCAGCAGCCAGTTCCACAAATGGGACTACAACAGCCTTGGTACCCTAGGACCCCACTGAAACCACCCCCGTCTTTCTCAGGAGATAAGAAGGACAAGGCACTTGACACATGGTTGAGGACGGTTCCAGTGTGGGTTAGGGCGAAGAGGACGTTGTTAGAAGAAGAGGTGGTCACTGCCGCCTAATATCTTGAGGGATCGGCAGCGAGATGGCTAGATGGGATAGTGGCATCCGCGGGGTTCGGCCGGCGAATGAATGATTGGGCAAAAGACCCACACATTGGAGATTTTCATGGCATTGCTTGAAACACGATAGCACAACCACCAGCAGGCCCGGCAGGTCACTGATGCGTTGGCCCAGCTTGATACCAGAAGGTACAAGTCCGCGTGTGAGCTCACCGCCGCCGTGGAGAAACTCGTTCTCGTCTCGGGTGTCTGCTATGATCCACAAGTCTTACTGACCATGTATGTTTGATGTTTTCCCACAGACATCAAGAACTTCATGGTTAGTGAGGCTAACATCGATTATCATACTCTTGACTCCTTTAGCAAAAGGCCTTAGATTTAGAGGCCAAGCTAGGAGCAGCACGGTCACCTGCTATGGACGGGAGGAAGAAGAAGCCCCCACAAGAAAGGAAGAAGAAGGGTAGTCGGATGATGATGGTTGATTCCGATGGGAATCAAACTGAGATCGATGATCGCTCTGACCTTCTG